ATCTGTGTCTGTAGGACACCCTCTACCTTATGATTTTGCTTTGTGTGTCTAAGGGTAGCTGCCCGCTTTTTTTAAGACTTTTGCTTGTCGTTGCATTTACTGGACAGCACTTTCACTTTACCCACTGTTCTGTTGAGTCAGAAGTTTGTCTGTTTGTTAATTTTGCCACTGAAAAACCGTTTGCTTTACGATCATTGCGATTAGTGATGTCCAGCGTCTCAATGAAAAACATCTGAGCATTTCTGAACAGTTGGAGCTCATCGACGATGTGGCTGCTGCAGCCTAAAAGTACGGAATCGGTTATTCAACAGCAGCAAAAATTCTCAAGAATGATGATGATCTCAGATCTTGCATGCAAATCTCAAACGAAAGCGCCAATCCGTTACTGGGGCGTTAAAAGCGCTTACACAATGGTTTACGCAAGCATGTGCTCGATGAGCTACCGTCACCGATCACGTCATCAGGCAGAAAGCATCACAACTGGCCAACAAATCTTGAAGTTGATTTTGAACTGAGCAATGGCTGGCTCATGTGCTGGAAGCAGGCCAATAACATTTCGCTTAAAAAAAAATTTCACGGCGAATCAACGTCAGCAGATCACGGTTCTGCCAACGAATGGGTGACAAACGTTTTGCCGCCTTTTTTTTCGTGGATATGATCCAAAAGATGTTTGGAACTGTGATGAAACGGGAATTTTCTACAAAGCAATGCCGTCTGGATCTTTGTGATTTGCCGGCGACAAACAGTCAAATGGGACAAAAGTTCCCAAAGACAGACTCACGATACTTCAGTTCACAAACATGGCAGTGAAAAGCAAGCTGTAGTTGTTGGTTAGTCGGCAAAACCATGCTGCTGCTTTAAAAATGTCAAAACTCTGCTGTTTTCTTACTTCGCTAATCGTAAAGCCTGGATGACTAGTCAGCTAACTGACGTTATGAAGACGCTTGATCGAAAAATGATTGCTCGAAAAATGATTGCTCAAAATCGAAAGATTATTCTGTTTTTGGACAATGCAACTTGTCATAACTTACTGCTGGGTACAAATCTGTCAAACATCAAATTGTCGTTCATGCCACCAAAGCGTATTATCATCGGGAACTTGTTCGAATGCAAATCGCAGCGTTCGATGCTACACCGCCAGTGCCGCTGTCCGAGATGGCCAAGCAGATAACTGTTTTGATGGCCATGCACATGATGAAGCAAGCACTTTTCATGGTCAAACTGTCAACAATTCAAAATTGTTTTAAAAAGGCCGGCTTTGTCATTGAAAATGATCAAGTTTCTCCACCATCGGGCATGGAGCAAACAGATTTTGACGACTTTATCAGCTTCGACGTCCGTACACAATGTTATGGAGAACTGACTGACACGGACATCACACGTGTATAAAATCGGATGATCAAGATTTTGACGAAGATGATGATGCTGAAAGCGTAAGTTCTGAAGTTTCAAAAAGTGACAAACCGGTGCCAAATTCTCTGGCTGCATTGAATGCGCTTTGAAACCTGACAGCCTACTTTGAAGCAAAAAAGCAGTAATCCTGATGGCGATTGAAAATGATTTACGGACTGTATGAAAGTGTTCATGATGTTAACAAAGAGATTTCTGTACAATCAAAAATGACTGACTTTTTTAAGAAAAAGTAATTTTGATTGACTTATTTTGAAAACTGATTGAAAATGTATTTTGTCTGGGTTTTTATGTCTATAACTGTTAAATAAACTAGTGTTATGTACATAAAAAAGCGTTATATGAAGTGTTCCCATATACTTACCTAAACAAAATAGACCAAACCCGGATATAAGAGACTTCTTCTCTGGTCCCGACAACTCTCTTGTATCTGGGTTACAATATATATATATATATATATATATATGTGTGTGTGTGTGTATCGATATGTCTGTGTGTTTATTCAAAATCAAAAATATTGGCAATGTAAGTCTTCCTAATAAACAGGACAAGCTCATTATAGCCTGTAAGCATATTAAATCCTTTCTCTTAAAATACTGGAAGCTGGATTAATTTAATGTTTTTTATTAAAGTAATATTTTTTTATTAATTTAATCTTCTTTTTTTACATACTTTCCTTTATCAAGCCTTTAAGTTCCACACCTGATTACCTCCCTTTAACCGTTACTGTATCTTGAGTACACCAGTGTCTCCAGTTTTAATTTGAAATTTCTCCTTATTTATTTTTTTTTTTTTTTAAAAAAAAATGTAAACAATTCCTACAAGTCATTTCCTACATCTTTTGTTCTATTTTATTTTTCGTCTATGAAACGGCATTCATCCTATGTCATCTGTGTATTTTTTTTTAAAAAACATATTTTCTGCCCAATGAGCTGGAAAACCAGCGAAGCTTAAGTCACACACCTCAACATAAGTATTTGTGTGTGTGTGTGTGCGCGCGTGCGTGCGCACACACAGACACCTATTTTCTTTCTCTCTAAATAGATGTTTTCATATACATGTAATAGCAGCCATTTTGTTACATATTTAAATATAAACAATTTTAATTTTTCTTTTTAACTCCTTTGTTTAGGTTCTCAAAGAAATTACGCTTACCCAGTAAACTTGGACAATACCGTGTTCCTGATGAGTTAAGGCAATCTGTTATTGCGTGTGAAGATCTGGTAGAAATTTTCCCAAATATATCTGAAGTGAGTTTGTTTTTTTTTCTTTTTAAACACTTTCTTATTTAAACACTTTGAAAATGGGACATTTAACCCATTAACTGTGGAGAAGAATTTCCATTTCTTTTTATGGTTCAACTGTGAATAGTTGAAATTTTTGCAGTTTTTGTGTTAAACTTATAATTTCTGAAGTAGCTGATAATTGTTTCAAAAGTGAATGTCTGAAGAAGCTGCTGCATGAAAATGGTGGGAACTGTTGGTAAATAATTAAAAAAAAATTTGATCATTGATAAAACAACAAAGTTAATGTATTCTGCTGTTGTCACTTATAAGACAATTTAATTTGCTAAACTATTTCAGAATTTTTTGCTTTTTTATTTCAGACATTGGATTATGAAAATTATGTCTCCAAATTTTCTATTCTTCTTCATTTGGAAGAAATACAAATGGAGATTGACATACGACAGTTTGACTTAGAAAGAGTGAGTTGAACTTGTTATTTCTATAGAAATTACTATTTCTCAATGCTAGGAATCTTCAAAGATTTGTTTTTTCTGCTTTACAGGTATGTCTCAAACATGCAGGGGAGTTTCTGGCATTAAAAGTTCCTGGTCTTGCAGAAGGTCGGCCTTCTGTCCTTGTTGGTGACAAAGTTTATGCTTCTATTCCTGGAGAATCAGATAGCCCACTTCTGGAAGGAATTGTCCATGAGGTAATTTTTCTTTTGCATCATTTTCTTTTTCTCCCATCAATTATTTTTGTTTAAATAAAACATTTTGCTAATTTTAATCTTCTTTTTCTCCCTCTAATTGTCAAGTTCAGTGTTCAGTCATACGTTGTTCAAATATTTTTGTAAAAAGTTGGGTTTTTTTTGGGTTTTTTTTAATTTAATCAAATTTTGGCAAAAAATTTTTAAAAAATAGGCCTTTGGTTTATACTGATGGTGCTGTTCAGTTTTTCTATTCACATTTATCCTAAATTAAATGTTTTTTTCTATGAGGTCAATAAAAATATTTATCATTCACTAGACTAGTAAAATAATGGTTGATATTATCTTTGTTTCTCAAAATTCCTTCAGATTCTATTTATAGTTAAACATATTTGAATAGACAAAATAAGAGAAATTCTTCTATAGTAAATGTGTCATTAAATGTTAGTGAAATGTTTATTTTAACAGTTTTCTGTTGCTTTGTATATCTCAAAGGCATTTCACAGTTTGGTATACAGAGCTTCTTCACAAGTTGAATTTTCAAACTGATTCACTCTGATTAAATTGCGAAATGAAAGTTATCTTGAATGGACGCTCTTCTAGATCTTTTTTTTCATTAATGCAGACGTCCTCCTGAGCTCTATCTTTGAACTTAAATTGTTCCTAATTTTCATCAATGACCTTCTTACAGTCATCAGCCCTATATCTATGCTGATGACACAACTATTTACTCTTGTCTTAATAGTAAGTCTGATTGGTTTGGGCTTATGGCCACATCACATGGAAACACAGGTTCCTGTACAGTCACTGAAGTTAAGCAGTGTTGAGCCTGGGCAGTACCTTGATGGATGACCACTTGAGAACACCGGATGCTGTAAGCTTGGATGTGCAGGTGGTGTAATGGATAATGGCTCGGAATTGTTAATTGAAGAGCTGAGGTCCAATTCCAGTTCGGTTCATTATATTCATTTATGTGCAAATAACCTTGAGAAAGGTAGGAATCCACCTCTTCCATGTAGCTCTGGGTTAAGTTCTAAGAGACTTGTACCACTAAATCATTATCTCCCAAAACATAAATTTTTACCATCTAAAAATATTTGCAGAGGGGTGATAAGTCATAGAAAACAATCATGATTGGTCAAATTGGCAGCTGATCTAAAAAATGACCTACATTCTGTTGTAAACTGGGGCAAGGAATGGCTTGTTAATTTTAATGTCTCCAAAATGAAACTGCTCTCTATTGTCTGAGAGGTCCCTTTCTGCCTTTTTCCAGATGAGTGACTTGTTGCAAATTCTTGGGCTAACGTTTTCTGACGACATGTAGTGAAAACATATCAAATCAGTTGTTAGGTTTGCTGCTAGGAAAGTTGGTTCTCTGTGTGGTCCTAGACAATTTTTCTTACCCAAATCTAGCTTACATATTTAAGTCTACCATTTGTTCATGCTTAGAATCCTGCTATATATTTAGAGATTCTTGATAAAATCCAAAGAATTTGCAGTGTCATTGGTCCTGACCTGGCATTTCAGCTTAGGTCACTTTCCTGCCACTGTAATGTAGCTTCCTTGTGCCTTTTCTATAAATACTTTCATGGAAAATGTTAAGATAAATTCTTCTCTGTTACTGAGACTCCATGAATTCAAGCACAGTACTATATTGGCAGCATGATTTTATCATTTTACACTTGAAATGGCTGCTAGATGTAACCATAAGTTCTATGCTAACAGTTTCTTCTATCACACTTCTATTCTGGTTTCTTGCTTTCCAGTCAAGTTTGATCTTCAAAAATTTTAATGCAATGTCAATCATTAAATTCTGTCTTAATTTCTGTTCTCATTCCTTAATAATGCTTTACTTGTATTCTTTCACACTCAGTAACTCCCTGGCTTTGTTGCCTTGCTTGGGGTGAAATGATAAAAAAAAGTGTGTGTTTTTAGGATTAGTTCTTGTCCAAAAGAAAAATATATTCAGGTTAGTTTTGACACAGAATTCTATTTTTTCAATATTAAAGCAGGTTTAAAGTTTAAAAAAAAAATATAATTTAAAATATTTTAAAATTTTTTACATTGCTAATAATAGAAAATTAAAAGAATGTATCTATGAAAAAGTTTGGTGAGAAGTTGTAAATGATATAGTGATAAACTTGTTAATTTTTATGAAATTTTATCATTTAATATTTTTTTCATTCTTCAAAAGTTACCCTTTTTTCCCTACTGTGAAATTAAAAATACATAAATATTTTTTTTGCCTGTCTCTGGATTTATTTTAGGTGCACAATGAAGAAATACTCCTAAAATTTAATTCTGAATTTCATAATAATTACCAAGGAGAAGATTACAATATGCACTTCACATTTAATAGGTTTGTAAAAATTTATATTTCATTTATTTCTTTTATGATGAATTTTAAATATGCTGCAATTATCTAAGTTAAATCTCATGATGATAGAGGAATGATTAAATAAGATTAATTATAAAAACTTGTTTATATAATTATCAAAATATTAAAGATTTATATGCTTCTCAGACAATCTGCATCAAGCAAATCTCTGTATATTTATCTAGATATCAATCCATTATCATTTATTTGGACATGTAAGGCTTGAATCAATTAACAATTCATTATTTGACTTGTTTTTAGATCTCCTTTAAGACGCTGCCATCAAGCTGCTGAATTGGCACCAAGTCTTGGACGCAATGGTAAGTAACCATTTATTCTCTTTGGTAGAGACGTGCAAGAAAAAACTCAAAATTAATTTAATTGACAATAACAGAAATTGTTTGGATTCTGTGGTGAAGTATTTTCCTTATCAACTGTTTTTTCTTTATTGTTGTTTTTTATTACAACTTTCTACTTTGAATACCATTGGAACATTAAAGAATGTGATCTGGGAATTAAAGAAAAAAAAAGAAAGTTCCTGTGGAACATAAGTTCAAGTTTCACTAGAAACTACTTTATTCTTACTTAGTTTAATAAATGGAGGGCATTAGACTTAGGAAGTTGCATTAACACTCTGCATTATTAATATTAGTTCCTTTTCAACTGCATTCTTTTTCAAGGCCTCTCAATTGCAGTAATTTTATTGTTACTCTCATTCAAAGATATTCTTTTTTTGCCATAGCAGGATATGACAAAACAACTATGAAATTCAGACTCAAGGATCCGTCATCTTCAGTAAATGAAGTTTCAGTGATAAAGATTAAAAAGCAACAACTGATAAAAGATGAATGAAAACATTGATAATGCCTAAATTTCATTAAACAACTAGGTTAATAAACTCTAATAGTGATTAATCCAAAAGACAGGTTGGTTATCCAGTCACAAAAAAAAAATCTACACACCTATGACTCACCATGATTGTTACACAACTCTTGACAATGTTTGAAGACAAGAACAGCTTTCTTTGATAAACAAAATCATAGCTGTTCTCATAAGATGATCATTGCATTTATTCATGGATGGAAGTTGCTTTCAAGCAATGATTCTCTCATGGTTTAACTTTTAATTCTTCTATTTAAAGGATTCATAAATGCAACCTTTCTTCAATTTGAAATACAAGTGTTAAACAATAGATTATAGATCTTAGACTAATTTCTGACCAGCCAGCTGATTAGTCATTTCATTCTGAAATTCAAGACCATTAGGATTGTCTTTTTTCAATGACTCTCTCGTCAGATGGACACAAGAGTAGAATAACTTTGCTAGTATCATTCTGTCTCATAAGTCAAACCACTTGACTCAAATTATCACTCTTTCATCACACATTATTTGTGACTCTGTTTCAGACCTCATGTTTGCAACTAATGATGAGCTGATACTTCTTGCTATATAACTTGATGGCACATTTCTTGCAATGGGGGGTCATTGGGACATCAAAACTCTTTTTTTTTTTTTTTTTTTTTTTTTTTTCAGCTAGCTGCCAACTTCGATTGCTAACAGCTTTACAACTGAGGTGTTTTTGGTTGCAATTGTTTTCCTTGGCTAAATATTGGTTCAGACCTAGTGTAAATTGCCTGCTCAATCATATTTTATTGGCATTAGTCTATTTTCTGAACAGTTTATTTGTCTATGCATTTGTTAATTACTCTCAGCCCATTTTCCTGACATAGTAATAAGAAATAAACCAATCTGGATTGTTATACCCAAAAAATTAAACTTTACTCAGCATTCCACAACAAGGCTTCTACACATCTTGTGACACATTAAAAACCTCCAATATGATCACAAACAATAATACAAAAAAATAACATTCAACATGCCAATGTTGTTTACATATTCACTTGCCCAATTGAGAATGTCTATTTAACAATAACAAAAATTAATAAATTCTATATGTTATCTTGTTGATTAACTCTCATAGCACTAACCAACACATGAAATTCAACAAATATTTATAATACAAAACATAAAACAAAATCCATACAAGTTGTAGAAAAAAATGAATATAAATATGAAAAGTCTTAACCATAAAACAAAATATTCACTGTCAATGAAATTTCATAACTAAAGACAAAAATATACAAGTTGATACATGAAAATGCAATATTTGAAAAAAACACTGATTAATGCATGAAGACTTGATACTCCAAGATCTCAAAGCAACATAATGCATACCTATAAACACAACTTTATCATCCTACAAAAAATATTTGATAATGTCTTACGAAAGCTGAAAATGTTCTTTAAACACTGGACAATTTGTTAAAACTACAGAAACCATGAAACTATACAAAAAATTTTAAAAAGGGAAACTTTCATTGGTCTTCAACTATACACACACACACTCTTCCTATATATATATATATATATATATATATAATCAGAATGCAGTACTTTTTATTCAAATTTGCATACATGTCATCATGAACTCTATTAGAAATGCATAATTACATAAAATCAAACACATGTTTATATTGTAAGTTTTTTTTTCTTTTCTTTCTCTTCCTTACAGTATTGTTTCCTACTAAATTAGAAACTGTTTCCCCACAATACACTCTTTCTTCAAATCGACTCTCTGGATCACACACACTCCCCAAGGCAGGCACACCAACAAGGCACAGTTGCCAGTCTCCACCAACTTCCCAGGCTACAGTCCAGTTTTTCAATCGCCAGTTGAATGATCGTCAAATGGCTGCAGTCACACGGATTCTTCAGGGACAATCTCGCCCCACACCTTACATTTTATTTGGACCACCAGGCAAGGACTTTAATTTAGAATTGATGCTACTTTCAGCATTTATGTTCATACTAGCTGTTTATCTAACCTATTATTTCTTAAGTAGGATTTATAAAAGAAACTGCTCCATGCTTTAATTCACTTTACCAGTGATGTGTGTGTGTGTGTGTATATATATATATATATATATATATATATATATATATATATATATATATATATATATACACGAATACATAGTGAACTATATATAGCATGAAGTGCAAATGTAATGTAAAATTATGAATTGAATTTTCGGGTTTAATTTTTATTTATTACACTTTCTTCATGTAGGAACTGGAAAGACAATCACAGTGGTTGAGGCAATTCTTCAAATTCTGACAAAAATGTCTGGAAGTAGAATTCTTGCTTGCACTCCGTCCAATAGTGCTGCAGATTTACTGGTAAGTATTCTCACTTATTTTATTCATTTTAAACTTATAATGGGAATTTCAGAAATTTACAAACTGACACAGATTATGGATAAATCTACTCGTGTTCCTGATACAACTGGACATCATCTTAGTCCTCTTCCTCACATTCTGAAGTGTTGCTATCTTTGGGCACTTCAAGCCACTCACTGGTCAGTGTTGATGCCAAACCAAAGGCATCTCTCCACTGTGCTGTTTAATATGACAAAATTTCAGTATACCAAGGTTCACTGGGATAGCTTCAGATCTTACATAGCAGAAAATCCTCTCTCAGTATTCTTCAGAACAGTCTCCAGAACTGTCACCCCTATTTCTGAATCCTTTTTGGCATGGATACTTTTATTACTCCCTCCAAAAAAAAAAAAAAACCTGAAAGGCCAGCATTGATTCACACCGAAATGTGCTACCACTATAACTCACTGTAACCGCTACTACCATCTCTGTCACAAGGAACAGTATAATAGAACTCTTGCTGCATTCAGAACTGTCCACAATAATTGCAAGAAAGATCTAGAAAATATAAAGAGCAGCTATGCACAATCAGTTCAAGTGAAAGTTGAAAGCAAAAGTCTGAGTCTGATCAACAAGAATAATATCAGCCACAAACAATATGGATCTTGGTATTCTAGATCCACTGCTGATGTCCTGTGTGTCATTACACACAGAATCAGTGAGGAACTAGACAAATTCATCATGAGGGCAATTTCCTTAGATATATCAAAAGCCCTTGACAAGTTGTGGCGGAGAGAGTTGCTACACAAACACTCCAGCTATGGCATCTCTGTAAGAGTTTTCTCGATTATCAAATCATTTCTAACAGGTCCATGAAGGTTGTTAATGGTCTGTCTTCTGAAACCCATGTGATCAATGCAAGCATTCCCCAAAGCTTCCTTCTCAGTCTTTCTTTCTGCTTTATATTAGCAATATGCCTAAGAACAAACTCAGATCACTGCAGATTGCCCTGTTGGTGGGGTTTCAAAATACACCAACTGCACCTCTGCAGAGGCAAAAGTCCTGGGGTGGGAGGGCACCTGTTTGCTGTGAGTGGTGATCCGTGATGCTTGAAGATGGGATCCTGGTGGTTAAGAGTTTTAGGTGTTGAGCTATACATATACTCTTAAACTCCAACACACCAATTTGGCCCTTGAGCTAGATGGGTGGTTGGTGAGGCCCAATCAAATCAGTCTGCTGATCATGTCAAGCCCTAAGTCAGACTAACAACCAAACAAAATGCACTCACATTTATCATATCAAACATTAAACTGATTTAGTAAGTGGTGGCTGTAGGGTCAATCAGACTGAGAACTAAGGAATCTGACATAGCTGTATCAAGTTCCGCAGAAAGCCTGTACTTGGGTGGATGATCTTGGATATGACAGGTAATTGGAACCCTCCCTGCATTTGAGTATAACAGTCATATAGCCCTGGAGGAATGAGGTGAATGGGATTTCCTCCCTTATCATCTACACCACATGAGGCTCCAAGGTGGATGGGGAGCATGGCTGATGAATAATAATAATAAACAAAATATGAGCACAAAAAAAAATAACTACAGACACAGAAAGTGACACAGAAAATCATACAAAAAACTTTTGAGATGCATAGTAATAGAACCAACAAAAGATAAATTAAAAATGAAGTTGTCACCTTTTGTAATAGAAAAAAATCTTATCTCCTGGAATAACTCCATAAATAGTTTAAAACAAATAGAAATAATACACTACTGATAGAAGTAAAAGAAAAATATGATGCTGAACCTCTATTAAAGATGACCAAATTTAATGATATAAAGGTAAACGTCAACAAACATACCTTTTTAAATTCTTCCAAAGGTGTAGTGAGAAGCACCAAATTCTCACTGTGTATACTGGCAGAAATTAAAAATAATAATTCTATTAAAAAAAATTACATTATTGATATAAAAAGAATATATTACCTTTGATGCACCAGAACCACCATATGAAATAAAAATTGGATATACAGTTTCTAAAGTAGAAAGATATATTCCAAATCCATTTAGATGTTTCAATTACTAAAGGTCTAGACTATTAAGAACCAATTCACAAGGATGCCAGTATGTGGAAAAAGTAGTGGGGAGAATGATCCTAATCACAGATCATATGCTCAAATGAAACAAAAATGCCCTAACTGTAAACAAAACCATAGTGCAACTTCCAGGGACTGTGTAACCTGGGAAAAAAAGACATACTAAAAATTAAACACATCAAAAATACCTTTCTCAGAAGCAAGGAAAAGCATTGAAACAAACTTCAATGCACCATCATATGCAAAAATTACCCCAGCAACATCAAGCTATACCCATGAAAATCTAATATCAAACAAATTACATGAAAAATAAGTATTAAAAAATATGTTGAAAAACATTAAAACCAATTGTGAGCTTGGAAACAAGCACTGAAGCAAAACTTTACAGAAACCAATGTAAATCCAACACAAAATTCACTGGCAACAACATCTCGACTACAAAATGCACAAAACTTCTTAAATGAAAAATTCTGCAAACCGAAAACTGACAAAACAAAAACCCAAACCTCAATAGAAAACAAAATCGAATATAAGAGTTTCAGATGGTACATCAGTGCTTATAAACAACAATATGCCCCATAAACAAATCCAACTTCAAACTAATTTACAAGCAACAGCAATAACAAACCACACTGCATAGAATGATTACCAAATGCTCCCTATACATTCCTTCCTTCAAAGGACAAAATATCAGAAATAGAACTAAACAACCTAATACAACAGCTCCCAAGACCCTTCATCATGATAGATTTGAATAGACATAGTTATCTATGAGGCATTCAAAAAACAAATCAAAGAGGAAAGATCATTGAAAAATTAACTGATGCAAACAATCTATACTTGTACAACAATAGATCCCATGCATACCTTCATCTGGCAACAGGCACATTCTCAGCAATAGATCTCACACTGTGACCCATCTCTGGCACTGGAATACAACTGGCAAATTTACAAGGATACTTGTGGCAGTGACCATTTTCCAATAATATTAGAACAAGTATCTTTTAATTCTGAAGACAAAGCATCAGGATGGAATCTACACAAAGCTGACTGCAACAAATACATAAAACTCTGTCTCGCCAAATTCACTTCAGGCTCAAACATAGGAATAAATACCAGTCAAGAGGATCACATTAATTACTTTACAAGAACACTACTAGAAATTGCAGAAGAAAGCGTACAACCCTAGTTTAATGAAAAATGTAGGGAAGCAGTCAAAACACAAAAAATACAGCTTAGATTTATAGAAATCTGTGTAATGAAGCTGGTAATTACCTAAAATGCTTGAAGTGAAAATCAGTTATACATTTCAAAAAGGATTGTCCACATAGAAAAAGAAATCAAGAAGCAACTGCCTGAAAACAGATGCAACTGAGAGATAAGCATTCCCTGGCGGGGCTGCAGAATGCCTGTTTTTTATTGCATTTGAGGCCTCCTTATATCTTGAATCACTCTTACAACAATGCTGGTTAAGCTTTTACTTCCAATTGTTTTTTTTAAAAAAAATGTGGGAGTGCTGACAGGGTATGACACTCTTATTGGATTTCATCATTTCCTCTTGCTGTGTTGTTTGTTTTGGATAGTACTTCCTATAGTTCTGTTTTAATATTCTTCCTTATTATAAAGTTAATTTTCATACCAAAATCATTAATTTTGAACTACTTTACAAAACTAAATGATGCTAAAATATTCACAAATTAAATTTAATACACAAACCATGATGCCCAATTAAATCACTGCAGATGATGCAAGTGTATGGGTACATCTCCAAAAGTGTAATTGGCCAGAGCCTGGCAGCCAATCACACCTTGACTTGGTTTTAAGAGCTCATTGGAGTGTGGCGGGTGGGGGTCTTATAACATTCAATACTTCCAAAACCAAACTAGTAATATTCTACCATCACCAAAGAGACTGAACTTTCAACTATCATGATGAATGGGTGTTCTCTTCAGGAGGCTCCTTGCTTTGAACACCTATTGGGGTTCAAGTCCACCTCAGACCCCAAGTGGAACTCATATGATCTAATGATGAATATACTGTAAAAATGGGCAGTTTATTGTACTGCTCCAGTAAGCACCGAAATTCCATGCTATGCTATCTTTACAAGAACCAGATCAGACCAAAATGGACTAGTAATGAGCTGCCCCATCCTCACTTTCCAGCCTTGATAGAGTTCAAAGTGTCTTTGCAGCCTTGTGGGGGATTAATTATTTTCTATTCCACAACCCCTTTCCTACAGACAAAATGTCACAAACCTCTTGTTACTCTATCACTATTTCTATGCCAAATGTTCTGATGAGCTACATTCTTTAGTCCCACCAACCTTGACCTTCATATCTAAGACCTGCAATGACATCTACACTGAAATGACTCATCACCATTCTTTTTATATTCTGTTAGTAAGAAGAAAGTTCCACTTGGATGGCTTCTTCCCAAAAAATACTGCTTCAATAAACACTCTTGAGAGTATACTTCCCTGATCACGATCATTGGCTTAACTGATATCTTTCCTGCATATCCTTTTAAATTGCACATCTTACCTCCTCTTATGTGCAACAACCTCAGTCAGTAACCCTCTACTTTAAGTGGCCTATGGGCCTTGTAACAAGTAAAAAAAAAATATATATATATATATATTCTGTGCATTTTTGATTACATTCATACTTGTATAATATTATAAACAATTATTTTAATATTTTATGATAAATTCTTTATAATTGGTTTATGTCATTTAAATCATTAAGTCACATCCATTTTTATCTAGCAAAGATTTATTAAGTTTAATAAAATAATTTTGTTTAGTTTATTTTTAATAATTTTTCATGATCATTCCACATTGAAAAGTGTTTTAAATAATAAAATGCTTGCATTTTCAGAAAATTATATTTGACCAAAGCAAAAGATTCTTTAGATTTGTTTTGTAATCATGGTCAAAATAATTTCCACTTTGAAAGACAATTGAAAATCATAATTTTTTTTGTATTTCTCATTTACATTTTTCTTCTAGCCCAATTTAATCTATATAATAATTTTACTCCCTTTATTTTATCTAAATAGGCTGAAAGGCTACACAAAAGTGGAGTCCTCAAGGTTTCAGATATGGTCAGGTTGAATGCTTTTCAGAGGAATGATGATGTAAGTGAAGTATTTATTTTTTCTCCAAAATATCAAAGCTGTAGCATTATTGCTAATGTTAGATTTTTATATCAGAAAATTTACTTCCAAAATCTCATAATTAAGTATAAATAAACTGAACTCTGAACTTACAAATTTGTAAAATATGTGATTCTAGATTTTTTTAAGAATTAGTCTATTATGTTTTGGACAATTATTTTAATCTTTGTTATAACAATGTTTCAACAGCATGTTTGGCCTTTTTTAAACCCCTCCTCCCCCCCAACAAAAAAGCCTTTTCAAAATCCTAAAACAGTGGATTTGGAAGAGAAAATATGGGAGGAGGGTGTGCGTAAAATCTGTAGATTGCTTGTTGGTGTTAATACACTATGACTGAGCAGTTCTAAAAATAAGAACTAGACAAGATATCCCTAGACAAGGGCAGTAGAATGAGAACAGTCTACCCCCGTAGATTAAATAAAAGGTTCAGTTCAGAATTCCCTGTAGGTTATCCAGATCGATATACACCTGATGAAACCTGGAGGGTACAACAGTTGAAACCTTGTGAGATAACAGTGTGAGGACAAAAGTTCACTTATAAATAGTGTAAATAATTAATCCATCTTTTTTTTTTTCTTTTTCTTGCATAGAATATACCAGAGAACATCAGGCAGTATTGCACTGTTGGTGAAAATTTGGATATCATTGTTCGTTATCGTATTTTAGTATGCACATGTGTTACATCAGGCCTCCTTTACTCATTAGGACTGAAAACTGGCCATTTTACACATGTTTTTGTTGATGAGGTAAGGATAGTATTTCACTATCACCTTTTTTTTTTTTTTTTTTTTTTTTTTTTAATCATTTAACTATGTAAACTTCAGTTTTAAATATTTGTTAAGGTTGGGCATCCAGTAAGGACTGAAATCTTTATACTAGCATATAAGTCTTTGGGACCAGTTTGCTAAACCTTGTACTATGGTAAAGCACCCTGTAAACCTTTTAAAATAAAATTCAGGTTAAATTCTTAAAAGATAATTTTTAACTAACCTCTCCAGCTCAAAGTGACTGAAATTTTTAATTGAAATTTCAACTAAAAAGTTTGCTGTTAATGAACTGGAGAATGAAATAGCAAAATATTTTAAAGTCTTTTTTTAAAAAAAAGAAAGATATGACTATAGTTATCAATGAATATAGAATTTTACTGAATGTAAAAATCTTTTAACAAAATGTTAAATGTTGTGTTGAAACTTTATAAAAGAAAAAAACTTGCCTTTAAAAATAAATGTCTCTACAGATAGACATGATCATGAAAAATTGGTAATTTTTAATTTTTGTATTTTCTAGGCAGGGCAAGCAACAGAACTTGAGTGTTTAATACCAGCTGGTCTAGTTTCAGGAACTGATGGACAGGTGAGTATCTACATTATTTACTGTAGTTTTTTTTTTTTTTTTTTTCTTTAATCATTTCACCTCAAGCAAGACAATAAAACCACTAAGATTCAAGGAGTTACTGAGTGTCAGTGAATGAGAAAAAAATGCTATTAAAGAGAGAACAATAAAAAGAAAAAAAAATAAAGAATTAAGATCTAAGATAACTATTGACAATTGCATTTAAATTTTTGAAGATCAAAGTTGACTGCAAGGCAAGAAGCCAGAAGAGTTCCACTAATGACTAATGAGAAGTGCTGGTTAAAGAAATTGTTAGCATAGAACATAGTTACATCTAGCCATTTCAACTGTAAAATGATGAGACCTTGTTAGCAATCTCGTACTGTGCTTAAATTACGATTAATTACTAGGTACCATAGAGGAAAATTCATCAGTATTTCACTGATTGAACCGTTTGTTGTTTTCTTTTTGAAAAATTCATTCAAAGTATTCTCTTCTAAATCATTTAATATTTAATTTATTTTTCAGATAACTCTTGCTGGTGATCCTCAGCAGCTTGGCCCTGTCTTACGTTCCACATATGCCAAGAACTATGGTATGGAGTTGTCTTTCCTTGAACGCTTGATGTCACGCTCGTTGTATGCACGAGATGAAACTAAATTCACAAATTATGGATATTATGATCCCATGCTGGTAAAAAACAATAGCAATGCATACTTTATTTTGATTTTTTTAACTTAAACATTTTTTCTGATGCATTTGCTCATTCTTAATACTTGTATGTCACATACCTGCTTCTCAAATAGCAAGGTGTAAGAAATTAGAATTAAATTTTTTTTTAAATAAAGCATGTAAGGAAAAAAAAAAAGAGGTGAAACTATATTCTTTTGTTAAAATTATTTTTCTCATAGCTTTTCTTTAGATTTTCTGCATCTAGTTTTAATATTTATAAATGCTAAATGTCTGTGTGACAAGTTAGTTTTGTAATATTCTATTTGCCTCCTCTGTTTTAAAGCCCTTGACATCTTCAAGTATTAATAAGCATGTCTGCACAAAAGTTTCATTTTTATTTTTATAAGCATGTATGTAATTTAATTTTTATAAGAATGTACGTAATTAATTACCTCTGGTTATTTTTATTTTTGCCAATTAATTTTCTTAAATTCTTGACAATCTTTAAACAAAAACAAAATTTGTCATTTCTGGAACATTCTTTTTTTACAGAAAATGCTATCCTATAAAACAAAAAAAATTTAATTTTTGCAGCCATATTTGATAAATATTCATTAATTTCTCCGAAATTTATTCTCTTACAGTTTTGTTTTACTTCAAATCTTTAATTTTTCTTTTTGTAGGTCACCAAACTCATTTACAATTATCGTTCACATCCCTCATTGCTTCAGCTTCCATCAGAATTATTCTATGCAAATGAACTTCAAGTTAAAGCTGAGAAACAACTCACACACAGCCTTTGTGGATGGAAGTCCCTTCCTAATAAAACTGTGCCAATTATATTCCATGGAATTCGTGTGAGACAAATATCTTTTATGGCTTGTTTTTAATTGTTACATTTTCCTAATTAACAAATCTGAACACATCAAAAATTATATATATCTCAACAAAATTGTTGAATTTTACACTTGAATTAATAATGCATACCATTTATCTAGTAAAAAGTGAGTTCTATTTCTACTTAAGCTGTGGTTGATTTTCTTTTGATATTATTCTGTCTGTTTTATTGATTATAAAACTCATCAGCCACTTCATACACATTTTTAAATGTATCTGGAAAAGAATTATAGAAATTTCCCTAACTAAAAATTAGTGATTTTGTAATATTTTAAGTTTTAGTTTGGTTTAAAGTTTTAATTTTTTTCCTTTTTATTAAGAAAAGTTGTTGTTTACAATAAATATCTTTTGTAGGGTGAAGACTTAAGAGAAGGAAACAGTCCTTCATGGTTCAACCCATTTGAAACTGTTCAAGTGGTAAGATATTTGCAAGGCCTCTTGGCAGATTACAGCTCTTCACTGACAGAAGATGATATTGGAATAATCACCCCTTACCGAAAACAGGTATATATTTTTTTTTGTTATTTTTGTTGTTTATTTTTGTTGATATCAAGGTTTTTGTGTGTGTCTGTCTGTAACAAACAAAAGTGTCAGTAAACACCAAACACAAAGCCTGCCAAGTGACCAAAGGAAATCAAAAAAGGAAAACAAACTAAGAAAAAAAATCTTTTACTGTTTAGGTAGGTATCTGTCTGTCATATATATATATATATATATATAAAATTGTGCATGTGTTTGATCTTAGGAGCAAGTTTTTTTTTAAAAAAAAAGTACCTTATTTTTATCTATGATTAAATCTTATTGATATTTATAATATTATCAGAAGCATATGAAGGAAAAATGTAACCATTGAAATGCTGCTCTGGATTATGTTGTGACGGTTACACACCTGGCCCAGTGTCGGATCCTTTGGTTACGGCGCCAACGGTGACGTCGCTCCTCCTGGTCGCTCCTCCTGGGTCCAAGCGTGCCGCTCCAACCCTTTGGTCAGATGATCACCAGCCTCGCCTTTCCCGACTCGCTTCCAATACCTGGTCACTAAAGCAACTATACCGATCTCCGGTCTGTCCACCCACGCTGTGTTTAGATCTTAGACAGACGGGACCAGCAGGGATTTGGGCCGATACAAGTCGAGTCCGACGGGGGTGGCAAAACACAAATAAAACAAAAACTCACGACACTAAACAAAATTGCTGATAAAAAAGGGTAACAACCTTTTATATCTTAATGTCCGTTACATAAAAAAAACAAATTGTTCTCAATTCCCGACCCGCTCTGTGGACTATGGCACCAAGCTTCTGTCACACAATAGAAAAATGTCGAATTACCTACTTTCTAGAATCATGTATGTATGTCGGAGTGTGGTTCAGTTCGACACTGGGGCTAATTTCTATCGATCATTCGCAGTTGATTCTTCTCTCCGACTTGAGTTGTATTTCTTCTTCTTCGTCTGCTTGGGCTGGTAGTTTTCCTGTTTCAACTTGGTGGAAGATTTCTTGTTTCAACTTTCTTGCCGTCGCAACTCTCTGTCGTCTGAGGTGGTCTCTTCTCACTGCCGTCGTCCGGGGAACTGAACTTTAACTTCTCATCGAACTTTTCAGCTTGTCTGCAGCTCCAATTCTTCTCAGGCTTTCAGGCAATCTTCTTCTTCATCTACTTGGGCTGGAAGTTCTTCTTGTCTGAGGTTCTTTTCCGCTCTCGGCTCTATCCCTGCCCGGGGATGAACTGATTTTTTGTCGATTGGGGCCCTGCTTTTATTTGACGCCGCAACAAACTGGGGTGGGTCTGTCGGCGTCAGGGTTTTCTCGATAATTCCAAAACTGCATTAATTCTGTCTTCTCCATTATCGCTATTGTTTTCACCCCTACTTCCTCACAGTACCTTTGGTGGGGCGGCGCACATCCATCTCTCTTAGTCTCTCGTATGTCAGGTGACCGCTTTTCAACCAATCGTTCCTGATCGAGCATTTCTTTCCCTTTTCTTTCCGCAGCCCACGTGACCGTATTCGACCAATTGTTATTGGTCGAACATTTCTTTCCTTTTTCTTCCGCAGGTCACGTGATCGTATTCGACCAATTGTTATTGATCGAACATCCTCTCCCCTTGTTTGGCGGGCGTGGTTACATCGTTCTTGTTTAAAAAAAAAACAAAATCCAATTTTTCCCTTTTTGCACGTACGCAAAATGACAATCTTTTAGCTTTCTCTCACCTGGACTTTGTCAAACAGCCCGCTGCTAATTAGTCTTGACTTTAGAAAGGATCTTTTCCGCCTTCTTGGCGCCCTCTGTGAGCCAAAAGCAATTGTCCCTCTTTTTTTGCTCTTTGTTTTTCCTGATAGTCGAAAATCTTAATTATCTACATTGAAAATGTCTCTACTTTATTAACGTGGGTGTCCAATTCTTAACAGGTCAAGATCTGTATATCGTTCCACCGGTCACTCCCCTCAACCCAAAAACACTTTTCTCTGATTAAAAAATTTCATTTCTATTGTTCTAAAAAGAAATTGATAAATGAGTCTTTCCACAAAAAAGTTGAGGTCAGATGCTTTGACCGATATCTGGTCTACATCAATTCCCGTTTTGATATCATGTCTTTTTCCCTTTCTTTTCTTCTTATTATTTATAATTCTATTCTTCCAATTGTCTTTTTTTTTTCGGCCAAGACGCTGACCTAAATCTCTTTCTGACTCCTATCTCCACCCTCAATTGGGTCATGCATCATACATTTCTTTTTCTCTCTTCTTCTTTCTTTTCTTTTTTTTTTTTTTTTTCTTTCTTCCTTAAGATCGTCTAGTACAATCTTAGTGAATTATTTTCAACTCAGTTATTTTCCGTTTTAAAAAAAAAAAAATAACAACCTGTTTAGTAAACCGAATAAGAAAAAATTAAATCATATTTCTATGAATATTTCTAATAATGCAAGGTGCCACAATGTCAAGCTAGTTTGTACTGTTTATATAACCTGCAATATCAAAAGCAAGATTTATTAAATGAATGTCAAAACATTTGTTTTAATGATCATGTGACACGGTGATGAAACAGTAACCATTATTTTAGTGCCAACTACATTTGAGCAAACTTCTGCTCCCTGTTTATTGTACATTGAATGATATTTAAGGATGAACACAGTGTTTATTCCATCCCTTTTTTGGAATTTTCACAGATGTTTTCTGACTTTTTAATCTACATAATATTAAAGGTTATTCCAAATTAGGAAAATTTGTTTGGGTGGATTTTTTAGGTAAAATTTTGTTTTTTTTACTAAAAAATGGAAATATTGGAGGTAAGGTATAGAGAGAGAGAGAAAAAATAGAAAACCAGATGAAAAGAAAAAATAATATAGAAAAGCTGCAGGGATTGGGTGGGGGGGACATGGATTTGCTGACTGGATGCTAAGAGACCATGAAAGAAAAGCATAAATATTGTAATTAATTAAAATTTATCAAGAGATAGACAAAAGGATAAAGGATGCAGTTGTGGATACCTTATTCTGTCTGAATTTCTGGCATGAGGAGTCATCATCATTTACAGTCAGACATTTATTATAAATTACATAATGGAGTTTAAAATTGATTGGTTTGTAAATTTTCTGACATAATAATTGTGAGTTCAATCTCAAAACTAGTTGTAAATTTTTCAGCTGAAACAAGAATGGGCAAAAACTGAGTAGTACTAAATCCCAAAGCATCAGACAAGATATCCCTAGACAATCTACCCTGCAGATTCAATAAAGGATTTAGTTCAAGATACCCTGAAGGCTATCCAGATGGACAAGCATCTGATGAAGGCTGGAGAACACAATGGCTTTATTCCTTTCTCAAATATGAAATTAACCTATGTTTGTATAACATTTAAATAGAATATATTGATGGGTAACAAAGATTGGAAGGGATAAGGGAGATAATGTGAAGATACACACAAATGGTGAGAGAAGAGAAATTACAGATCTTAATTGCCAACACCCATGGAATTTCCATGGGTCTAGCTAGTATGTTTAATTTTTGCTTTATGTTATAAATTTTCTCTTTCTAGGTTGAGAAAATCCGTTTGCTGATGAGTCACTTGGGCAGAGATAATGTCAAAGTTGGATCTGTTGAAGAATTCCAAGGACAAGAAAGGAAAGCTATTATTGTTTCCACTGTAAGTGAAATAAAAATTAATCTAAAAATATCCAACATTTTTTCTCTACCTCATCCAAAATCTTTACAATTAAAACCAGTGTTTCTTACAACTTTCTTTTTAAGATGAATGTGTATTCTATAAAGTTTCCAACCATATAAAATTTTAAACTAGATAAAATAATGATTCATATGGAGTAAATTTCTCTTCAAAATTCCAAGTTGAATGATGACTTTTCAATGCTTTTTTCACTTTTGGGAACACTAAAAGTCTGATGGTATTGTGACTACAGAAGATGTGCAACAACCGTTAATTTTATTTGCACTATTTATTGATGGTTATGTGGTCTCACATTGTGATACAGAAAGTTTCTTTTCTGGCTTTCTTCTGCAGATATGTTGTTTGAGGCTTGCAAGGTTCTATGGTACTTTACCAAATTAATCCTCATTCCTTTTGGCAGAAATTTTGTGTTCTAAAAAATTCTGAGCCTGATTTTTTCTCTTCTGAAGAATCCCAGAGAATTTAGGTGATGATATTCCTTAGCCTGCCTCAGGGTCATAATAATGAACCACCGATTCAATCCCAATGACAATGTTCATGTGGAACCTCTTTCCCTGATGTGGAAATTGGTTGACTTCTCGCTTTACCTTCATAATATCTATCAGTTTTCATGTGACTCACCTGAAACTGATTTTTCTGTAATTCAGTATTTGAATGATATACTGTCCTCTTTCTTGACTAACATCTTGCTTCAGAGCACTATCACTTTGTTTAATTTGCTGATTTTCTCCACTCATGGTATTTGCTCTTTCTTCCTATGTGTCAGTGAAATCAGTCATCCTGATCTTTGCTCATCAAACATATTTTGCTTCATCCACGTCTTTTTGCATGTCAAAATCCACTGGTAAACTTTTTTTTTTTTTTTTACATGTTTATAATTACTACCTTGAATTACTTTCATAAGACTGTGAATTTCAATTCTCATGCATCCTTCTAGTACCAAAAATTCTATCGCTGCTTTAAATATAACTGATTTTAGTACTTATTACTAACAAACTATTACTCAATACCCTCACACATACTAAGTGTATTTGAATTGGACTTGATATGCTGCCAAATGCATGTTCAAAAAGTATGTTTCTATCTTTACTACTAGTGATGTCATGTGGTAGGAAACTTTATTTAGCAATTGGCTATCATAAAATCAACTTCAGAATCTAATTTGTATGTGAACTTGTAATAGGTATTCATGAATATAAAACGAAATATTAGATTACATTTTCAAGTTTTTTTTTTTTTTTTGAATTTAAAACCTAAACACAAAACCTAAGAAAAAAACAATCCCCTGAAGGGTTAATTATTTGGCATTTGCCCACAAGCAAAGGGAAAATGACATTTTATACATGGATAATAACCACAGCAAAACAAATGAACATTTATTAATAAATTTATTTTAATTTTCAGGTTCGTGCAAATGAAGACTTCATAGAATTTGACAAGCAACATGCTCTGGGATTTCTGAGTAACCCAAAGCGTTTCAATGTTTGCATTACACGTGCACAAGCATTGCTTATTATTGTTGGAAATCCTTATGTTCTGATGCAT